GTCGTCGGAGGCTCCTCTGCCTCTCACCTCTGCCTCCCGCTGGCAGGTGAGCAAAATCTGTCTCTCACATATGTCGGGAAACCACAGATCCCGCCCCTGCTTGGTCAGGCCCAGCTGGAAGGCAGCGGCCATCCCTGAAGAGAGGAGGAATAAGGGTGAGGCAGCAGTGCAAGACTGGGTCACGCGCCTGCCCTGGGTTGCGGACGAGCCTGGGAAACCGTGGGGACAGACCTGGAAGAAAGGGGTCTTGTCCTGGGAACAGAGACCCTGAGACTCTAAACGTCTTGTTCATCTTCAAGGCTTTTCCCACTGCTTCACATCTTGTGGCACACGGAGCCAGCCCTCCCTCGGGAACATGCTGCTGCCGCCCCGAGACTACCCTGCAGCTGGGTGATGCAGGAGTGGAAGCCCCTCGGGGGGGACTGACACGCAGGCTGAATGGGTGTGGGAGGAGCGCATGCAGCTCTGTAGTCTGACGGACCACATTTGCATACTCATTTCACCTTGCTTGTACACAAGTCCATGAACGTGGTGGGGCAGGAGGGGGCGGAGTTCTGAAAACCAAACATGTTGGAGGACTGAGTTGCTGGGCCGGGGGCTCAGGACCATGCTCTTGGGGCACCGCAGTCAATCGGCAAGACTTAGTTCACCATGACAATGCTCTGCAGCAGCGGTTCCCAACCTTCCTCATGCCACGACCCTTCCATACAGGTCCTCATGCGGTGGTGCCCCCAACCATAACATCACTGTCGTTGCTACTTCATCACTGTCAGTTTGCTACCATTACGAACCAGGCGAACTCTGTGAAAGGGTCTTTTGACCCCCGAAGGGGTCGCGACCCACAGGTTGAGAACCGCTGTTCTTTTTTTTAGATTTTTTTGGCTTTGTTTTGGGCAGTTCTTTTTATCTTTTGTTTGTTTGTTTTGTTTTTAATTGTTTTATTAGGGGCTCGTACAACTCTTATCACAATTCATACATACATCAATTGTGTCAAGCACATTTGTACATTCATTGCCCTCATCATTCTCAAAACATCTGCTCCCCACTTAAGAGAACTGCTGTTCTATAGCTTACTTCAGTGAGTGGTGACAGGGGTCTTAAAAGCTGGTTAGCAGCCATCGAAGGTGAAACTATTAGTCTCTCTCTACCTGGAGGAAAGAATGATGAAAATCGAAGACACATGGAAACGATTAGTCCAACACACGAGCGGCCCTGCAAACATCTGTCCCTACACGGGGCTTGGACCCTAGACGAACTGGATGGTGCCCGGCTACCACCACCAGCTGCTCTGGAAGGGTGACACTAGATGCTCCTGGATAGAGTGGGAGAAAAATGTGGAATAAAACTCAAAACCATAGAAGAGACCAGGCTTGCTGGTCAACAGTCTGGTGGAACCCCAAGACTATGGCCCCTGGTCACCTTTCAGGCCTCGAATGGAACTCATCCTTGTGGCAGACAAATCCACCGCTTGTTTACTTTCAAGCCTTTAAGTCCCCAGATGCTACAGGTCTCGATAGCCGGGCACCATCAGCCTTCTTTTCCACACTTACTTATGCACACATTCGTCTTCAGCGTTTATGTGGGGAAGGAAAAATCCACCACTGAAGAAGCAAAGGCAGCATCTCCCGAGGACAAGGGAGGAGGGATAGAAACGGGAGGCCTGGGGAAGAAGAGGGATTGAGGGCTGCAATGGAGCGGCGGCGGAATCAGAATGTGTGTGAACTGTCGAGGGTCAGACTGATGGTCTCCCTGCAAGCCTCCACGAGACGTAGTTAAAAAACAAAACCCAGCCCCACACACCTCACAGTCATAACAAGAAGGCCGGCCTTAGTGGTCGGATAGATGCTGGGCCCCTCATCACCCTCCAGGCCTGGAAATGAGCTCACCACACGGTTCAGTTTTCAGGCAGACACCCGGCAGGTCGCTGAGAGAACGATGACACCAGGGATTAGCATTGGAGTGGTCAAGCATTTGAAATCGAACGGGTGGCACTGACCGCAGGACAACGTCTGAGGGGTCGGGAAAGGAGCAGGAGTGGCGGGCGGCAGGGCGGAAGGGGGAGATGACGGCACTTCATGGGGGTTGCAATCAAGGGGATGGAACAAAGTGCATGGATTGTGGAATGGAAACCGGATCTGTTCTGTAAGCCTTCAACAGACTTCACCGTAGAGAGTTAAAAATAAGAATCATCAGTAAAAGCTAGCGAGCTCAGCTACAAAACAGAACCAAAAACCAAGCTGGAGGCGAAATGAGACTTTCTGTGGTCCCCGGGGAGATGTCACTAGAAGCGCTTCAGAAAGCAAAAGGCCGGGACAAGGACAGCCAAGGCCCCAAGAAGGACCCATACGGGTCCCCAAGGCTCATCGAGGGCACACAGCACAGGTCTTCCCACAGGTCGTATCAAGGGTCCACAGAGGTGAGAGCGGCTGCCTGGTTCCCCTGAGAGGCCAGACCCTCCCTGGCCTGGCTGAGAGGAGCTGTGGGGAGGTGCCGTCACGCAGGCCAGGAGCACTAGAATTTGCTCGTGTAGAGGGTCATAATCCACTTGGGCATGCGGAGGAAGCCGGGCAGGTAGGAGGCCAGCCAGCGTAGGCTGGGGACCTGGGTGAGAAGCATTTTCACCGACAAATAGTCCTGGACGGGGCGGCCTGGGGACAGACAGCAGGAAGAAGGGGAGGGTTAGACGCTCGCCCCCCACTCCTCGGACACCAAAACCGGGCTGAAGAGACCCAGGGGGATGTGGGGAAGGAGAAGGTAGAGGAGACGGAGTCAGAAGGGAACAGAGCTGCGGGGTCTGGAATGCTCACCATCCACGTCCTGGAGGTGGTAGCGGCGAGCAAGGTCGCAGGATGGCAGCACCTTCCCACTCAGGCTCAGGATGTCAGGGTCTGCGGGGCACACCGAGGAGCAGGGTTTGGGCTCAGTGGGCCCACGCACCCCTGGGCCAGGAGGAGGCACCCAGGAGCACTGTCTCTCTCCACTCCGCAATGGCTGCTGGGCACCCCTTCTAGGAGCCAGTTCCTCAGGCTTTCAGCCAGCACACTCAGAATCCTGGCCC